AATCAAAATTTTCGTCAAAAGAATTGTAAGAGACAGATGCGGCATTCCAGGGTTCGATTTGGACCTTGAATACATGTATTTGTAAATCGTCTTCAGAACGTCTAAAACTGTTCGAAAATCGTATAATTCCTTTAAACAGACCTCAAACAAGGAATTTAAGTTTTTATTTATTTCGTTCACAAGCAACAACAAGATATCTTCCGTCGCAGCTGTGCGTAGACGAAGTGGGACAGGAGGATTGAGTCTACTGTATACACATTCGAATATTCAAACATCAAATTACCTTCAAACATAGATAATTAATGAGCACACATGAATTTGAAGGCTTAAATTTTAACGGTGAGCTGTGAACATTATTACTGATTATTAAGCGGCACAAGTTTCAACTTTCTGAGACCAGGGTATGATTTATTCCCAGATATGCCGCACTTGTTCACTTATTCAAGATAAACAACTTACGCAGACAAAGTATATCAACTACAGACCACTGACCATTACGGCAAGTAGATTCGGGATTCTTTCCACCATAATAAAATCCTTCAACACAAGAATACTGAACAATCATATTGCCTCCTACAGTTTTTTTACTACTTACTTCAGCTCCATAAACAAACGAGGGATCTCCACATTCGTCTGAAATAGCAATAAAAATATACGAAAGAACAAACAAGATAGAAGTTTGGGGCCATAGATTTGTAGGGAAAACTGATAATATTAACTGGTAATCGAAAAAAACAATGAATATATTAGTCATGTGAACTCTCCAAAATATAATTATAATATTTGTAGACACAGTAGAGAGGTCCCAGAAAAAAAATGCATAAATCCCACACAGAATTAAAGCTTAAGAAAGTTGTAGATCTAACCAATATCGTGAAAATATGAACAAAAACCGCATAAAACCATTGTTGTCCTGCATGAAGTTACGTCAAAGTTAACACTTACAATACCAATCTTTTCCTTTGGCTTTGACGTCACATAAACCGAGTCCATATACACCGGTTCCAAAACCTTGTATCACTAAATGACTACCAATCAAGTTTGGTGGACACATAAAATCGACATTACCTGACGATGTGAATGGAAAGTTTATAGTACCACACAGAGTCGTCGGATTTTGTGTCGTGTTTCTAACATGAACTTCGATTTTGTTTATGTCAACATCTACAAAACATAACAGTCAGAATATTTTCTTTATTTAAGCGAAAATTAAAATAATTGCAAATTCATAAAATTTCACGTTCGAATATCTGCTTTTAAATATTTGTGAAAGCTTTTGTCAATATCAAATGCTTGATGTTAACGAGGCAGAGTACAAGTGATGTTTGCTATCATTTTCAAAATAAAAGTCACTCAACATCAAAGATGTAATTTATTGAACTTACTACTTTGCCATTCCACGGTTAACTCAACGGAAAACACATACTTCGCTCCATCAAATTCAATGGTCCACCTCGGGTCTGTGGAGGGAGTGGTACTCTCACATGTTAGTACATCTCCATCAGTTAGATAGTTATCCATACCACCTAAACTACTTGGTTCAGGTAATATAGCATGAGCTGGAGTCAATACTGCGTATTCTGAAAAACAAAACAATACCATACCAAATATAACGGTCACTCAAAATTCTTAGTTCCTTGGTTGGATAGTTAACTTAGATTACTGTTCACCATTTTCAAGGAGAAATTGCAGATAGTGTACTCACCATCACATACTGGAGATTCACCAGTCAAAACACCACCCTGACATTCTCTCTTAAGATCTCCACTTATCCAATAGTGATTTTGATAACAGGTATAGTTGACCAAGGCACCTTCTGGAAGGCTGGTATCGTCAGTATATCGGTAGGCATGAAGAACAGGTTGAGGCTCTGTACATCCTGCAAAACCATGTACTTGGTTAATGCATACGTTTAGACAAGCATGGAAAATATGGACAGACACTCAAGCCGCAAAGTACTATACTGCTACATTAAAATATGTAAATTGTATTTTGTTATATGACAACTAATACTGATTCATTTCTTCATGTAATTATAAAGAAAATCAAGAATTCTATCTGGAAAGAAAAGTAATCTTTCCCACCGTTATGCTGAGCAAAAAGTAAAAACAAATTAGATTTTGTGTTGATTCATAATTCCACTATACAGAAAGACGTTAAGGGTGCCTGTTGGATTCAACGTATAGAATTCTGTAAAACATTGAACTTTGAATTGGTAAACAACAATTGATCTTTGATCCGGATTTTGGCAGATAATGGCTATCTTATACATATGTTACTTTAAAATGTTAAGCTTTTTAAAGAATTAATATGATAACTAATTCTGTATATGAATAAAATAGATCTTATCAAAATTATCAAAATATAAATGTTCTTACCTAAACTAGACTCCACATACAAAATAAAACAATACACAATATATACCATGACAAAACACTGTATCTTTTTCATCTTCCAAATAGTATCTTTACATAATGCACAGGAAACAAAAGTGTCATAGATCTACTTAGCGTCCTGAAAACCAAGTTTAAATTGTCTGTGAATATTAGAATAATCACCAAAAAGAAAAATTTGAAATCACTCAATATATTGATTAAAAATAAGAACTCTGGGGTGTTTTTAATCGTTGTAATCAACTTCGGGTTAAGAAAGCTTCCAAGAAAGACAGTCCATAGAGTTGTGGTTGATGTGCACGGATGCTTTACTTAATCATTAAACGACATTTTCCTCAAAAGACTTTATTTATGAAGCACTTGCAGG